GAGAGAGGCCGATGCTGCAGCCAGGGGAAGGAAGGCCTACTCTTGCATGAATTTGGTGCATCGGGCCTCTAGTTAAATAATAAATGTTAGTCCTGTACCCAGTTCATTTTTATCAAATGAAAATAATAAGTACATGAGTGTGTATGTTTTTTTGAAATTTCATGTTTCTTATGTAAATAAAGTATCCAATAATTATAAATACCTGCTTACTAGTTTTTATATTTTGTGACAAAAGATAAATTAAGAAATGAGTTTGACCACCGTTGTTCAGCAATTCTTAACCTTTCCTGGGTTTCCTTGACTCCATAAAAATGCCAGAAAGCACATACACACCAAAATTTTGAATATAATAGTGGAGGATTCATGAGTCCCCCAAATTTCACCATTTCCTAAGGGAGTCCTCTATCCTTCTTGCTGTAGGAATATCAGCATATGATGTAGGCTCCATTAGAGTAGGAAATTTTTTCTTGGTGTTCACAACTGGATTTCTTGCACTTAGAACCATGCCTTGCCTGGTATTTAGTAAATATCTGTTGAATGAATAGGCAGCATAGTGTGATTCCAGTTGCTTTTCCCAGGCTTTCTGCAGAATCAGCACACATAGCTCTGGCAAGGCCTATCAAAGGAACCTTATCATAATTGTATTGAATTAAGTGGGACCATGTTGAGGACCAACAAGTCTGTATTGTTAGATATAAACTTTGTCAGTCACCCTAACCTTCCCCTCTTTAACTAAAGGATTAAAGAATGAAGTTAAAAGACTTCATTCACGCCCAGCCAGCGTGGCTCAGTGGTTGAGCATCAACCTATGAACCAGGAGTTCACGGTTTGATTCCTGGTCAGGGCACATGCCTGGATTGTGGGCTCGATTCTTAGTGTGGGTTGTGCAGGAGGCAGCTGATCAATGATTCTCTCATCATTGATGTCTCTATCTCCCTCTCCCTTCCTCTCTCAATAAAAAAAATTTTTTTTTTTAAAAGACTTCATTCACTTAAAAGTCTCCCTCTTCAGGAACACTACTACAGAGTTTCATGTTTTATAGGGGAGCCTATTATTGTCTTTGATAGTTTCCTCATGATTATTCCTGATTTATGATAATTTTAAAGAGACAAAGTCATTTTCTCTTAGTATTGAGGCTTTTAATTAGTTTTGATAGTTCTGGTACTATGCAAGTAGATAAGCATCTATATATATAAAAGCAAAATGACCAGAACAACCAGTTGCTATGATGCACACTGCAGGGACCAACTAGCCTGATAGGGGCCCAGATCGGCCCCTGACCCCAATCAGAGATGGGGCTGGCTGGCCAACCTCCCGCAGCTGATCAGCCCCCATCGGGGCCAGCCAGCCGGACCCCACCCCTGAACGAATTTGTACACCAGACCTCTAGTACTGAAATAAGTAATAATGACACAAGTTCCCGAAATCAGCATTTTATAGAGCTCACTAATGATATAGTTAACATTTTGTAGATACCTGAAATCACCAATATATTGTAAAAACTTTTTATTTAAAAAAAAAAAGATATTATGTCATTTCCTCTCTTCTCATATTCCGTAAAAGATTGCTTTGAGAAAATTATAGCAGAGATTTAGAATATATTTGCATGTAAAGTTTATTTACCTACAGATGACTGTCTTTTCATGTTATAGTTATACATAGAAGGAAGATGTAATATTTTGTATAAACAATGACTCTTATTGTTCTAGGTTGGATCAAATGTTTTCAGATGCTTTTAGTAAAGATCACCAGCTAATTCAGGCCGACCCCAAACACAGTCTCTACCTCGCCTGTGCCCTCATGGTTAGAGGAAATGTCCAGATTTCAGATCTTCGCAGAAATATTGAAAGGTTTGAGTTTGTATTTTTTTCAAGATAATTTGTTATGTGTACTGCTGTGACAGTGTAGCATATTAATTAGGATAGTCTCTCTTCGAACTCTAGCCATTTAAGTAAAGTATGACCTTGAGCAAACTACTTAGCCTCTCTGAGCCTTATTTTTCTCAAATGAAGAAGAAGAAGAAGAATAGTGCAAAGTTGTTATTTTTAAGTACTAAATGATAGGTTTTATTTCCTGAGAGTGTTCGAAAAATTTAACTATTGTTACTGTACTTATTATTACCACTACACTGCTTCTAAGTTAATGTTTTACTATTTATTCTCAGTCTATTCTTCAGAAAACTGCTCTGTTGAGTTACAAAGTAAAAAAAAAAAATTATAATACTTTTCTTTATTTTCATCCCCAGATTTCTGTTGTTAAGGAATGTGTTTCTAGCTTTATGAATCGCCACACAACTAATCTAATGTCCTCCTACTAAATGTTTCTTAGTTCACTGTCAGACTGGACCACAATACTGCTAATAGTAAAAAATAGATAACTTACATTATAAACTAATGGTACCATCAGTAACAGTGATGTTTACCTAATGTGAGCTGCTGTAATATGACAGACATTTTTAGTACCTTAATTCTTACCTTGAGTCTTTGTATCTCAGATTGAAACCTTCTCTACAGTTTGTCTCCTGGAATCAAGAAGGCTGGAAAACCAGCCTGTGTTCAGTACCTCCTGTGGGCCATTCCCATTCATTATTAGCTTTAGCAAATAACACATGTGTAAAGCCTACCTTCCTGGAACTGAGAGAGAGATTCATGAGGCTCTACAAGAAAAAGGTAATTATCAGCACACATTTGTAACTATGTGTGTTTATTTTGGCTATTTGTGATGTATTCTTAAGAATTGTACCATTACAAATCAGGGTGAGTCTGTCTCCTATATTCATTGCACTGCTTATAACTGAAGGGCAGAGGCTAACTCAGACCATCTAAATGAGAAATCTCGTGAGTTTATAGTTCTCATTTCTCTTGTAAATCTGAGTGAACTATCATTTTAATACAGAATGTTTACATTATAGGATTGTATCACATTTCCTGAAAATAGTCAACATTATTCGGTTTTTTTAAATTACAGGCTCATCTTCATCACTACCTGCAAATTGAAGGGATGGAGGAAAGCTGTTTTACAGAAGCGGTGTCGTCTTTATCAGCTCTCATCCAGGAATACAGCCAACTGGATGCCACAAAAAGCATGCCCATGGAAGACTTACCCAGACTGAGTGTCGCTGTGTAAAACAGAACCCAAAAATGCTTTTCCTTTTCCTGTAATCTTACCTTGCTTTTTCAGAACTTTTGTGATTCAGAGAGCCCAGTTTGTGTTTTTCATATTAGGGAGTATTTTGTCTGCAAAAGTAGTTCTGTTTAATCACCGTTGATAATACCAGTGTGTGAAATTAGTAAGTCCTAGTACCTTAACTTCAAACATTGTCTTCAGAAAATTCCCTTTTTCTAAAATTGAGAGAATGCAGTTCTTTAGTATTTTACTTTATTTATATTCATAGTTAGGTATTTATACAATAAGAATCATGTCTTAGTTACAAATCTTGTACAGATATATTTTTATATTTATTTATAATTTATGTATTCACATTCTGTTTAAATTTTTCTGATTTTTAAAAAATAAGTACAGGGAGTTGAAGCCACAATATAAATATTTCTGTGTAACGGCCACTAACCTCAGGGAAAGATTTTATGACAACTATTGAGTTTTGGTTTCTTCTTTGGGTTACCTTGTTTTCACTCAAAAGAGTCACAATTTACATTTATTTTAACATGTATTTGTATTAAATTCTTTTTAAATATAATGCTTTTTTATCAAACTAGATGATTTTGAAATAATAAATGTCCATATTTTTTAACAGTGCTTGTTATCATTGTTTTGCTTGTTACTATACAAACATTACAAAACTTGTCTTCTTTCAAACTTTATAGTAAATGGCTATCATAGCCTAGAGAAAGTGTTCCAGTTACTATCATTTCCAGTTGTAATCTTTAACATTTATTTATCTTTAATTACAATTTATATTTCAAAGCCATATGTGGATTTATCATTTCAGAAAGTAATCTTGAGGAATAAATTATTTTCAAGTCGAAATAATTTTTTGTGTGCTTTCTCTAGTGTTACATTTTTAAAATTCCTTTCATTTTCAAAGTAAGGATACTGTTCTTGGTCTTTATCTTGGAAATTTTGGTTTTTATAGTATTTGGTATAAAAAACTGGTATTGTCAACAGTAGACAATGAAATTTCATTTTTCTCTTTCCAGAAATCTTAATAAACTGATATTCAGGACAGTGCAGTGGAAATTATAAATTTGTTTACAGTTTAACTTTACTCCTATTTAAGAAAATCTAGAATCTTGCTCACCTTGCTTACCATCTGAGTGGAACCTAGGCTACATTGTTGAAGTGCAGATAAAGTTTTAAATTTTTAATATGTGTTTTACACATCTTCAACAAAGTATTCCAGATTATTTTATAGAATGAAATATTTTCTTATAAATTGTGTAGTTTTTCCATTATATATGGAAAATGTAGGTGGAACAAAGTATTGTGTATTATATAATTACTAGAGGCCCATTGCACGAAGAGATTCATGCAATAGGCCTTCCTTCCCCTGGCTGCTGGCACCAGTTTTCCTCCGGCACCCGGGACCCAGGCCTTTGTTCTGACCACAGCAGAGAAGCCAAGCCTCTTCAGTCTTCAGTCATCTTCAGCTATCTTCCGTCTTCCCTCGGGTGGAGCCTTCAGTCTTCGCTCTGTGCCTGCATATGCAAATTAACCACCATCCTTTTTTGGGTTAATTTGCATATTCATCCTGATTGGCTGATGGGCATAGCGGAGTAACACCAATTTGCATGTTTCTCTTTTATTAGTGCAGATAAGATACATTTTAAAGTAAGTTCAATTTTAAGACTTTCAAATTCTACATATCTTTGTAGGAGAAACTTTTTAAAAGCTCCTAATGCCTTAAATACAGTCAAATGAGAATAGGCATTCTTACTATTTTAAACCAATAAGGTCGTTTTGCCACCTTTTTAAAACCATTCTAACGTTTTGATGTAATGACATGATTGACTAACCTTGAGATTTCCCCCATGTGTTTGGCTTTAGAGAATCTTGAGCTCAGAAAATATATCTCCCGAATCTCTGCAGTTTCTCTGACATACACAAGATGTGACCCACAGCATCTTCCATTTAAATGACCCTTCATTTGGGCAATCAAATTGAATGGTAATCATCTTAGACTTATTAGGCACACAGCATCTCTTATCCATGCATAGTCCACAGAAAGTGGGTTTATAACTCTGGGTGCTTGAACATCCAGAGAGGACAAATTTTTCAGCTTTGAAGAGTTGGAAAGTAGGTTGGCACGTTTTTCCTTTGGGGATCTAAAAATATACATAACATTAAGAAGTCATTTTTAAAATTTGATTATAATAGTTTAGAGAAGTGATTCTACATAGAACATTTTATAACATAAACACACAGATACAAATTATTTCCAGGACATTAATAGTTGCTATTTAGTAACTTTCAGCACTCTCTTTTCTGCATTTAAAACCCCTCTCAACAGAAGTCAGTCTGTCTCCCTGTTCTTGCTCCATCGTGTTATAGGACCCACTTCCCAATGATTTTTGCTATCTTTTTTACCTAGTTCCAGAATTAATGAAAATTTATTTTGTTTACTATCAAGAGCCATGTCTTATTAAATGTTTATTTACCTACAAATTAACAAATTCCCTTACACAGCTCAGACAGTTTTCAGAGGATGAATAGGTGAATAAATACCTTAATCTCTTTAAAATTGAGTTAACTTTTTTTTTATCCTCACTGGAGGATATTTTTCTATTGATTTTTAGAGAGGGTGGAAGAGGGAGGGAAAGATAAATATCGATATGAGAGAAACATTGTTTGGTTGCCTTCTGCATGTGCCCTAACCAGGGCCCTGGCCAAGTTGTTAATTTCTAATGGGAATAACTTGGGGATGAGAAGGGTGTTGTGCATTTCTAAAAATGGTCATCCTGTATAATTCTAGAAGTAGGACCAACTCTAGTTATACCAAACAATCTTAGAGTATTTTATCATCATCTTGCAAGTCTACTATCTAAACACAGAGCATTTTGGAAATGGTATGGTTCCCCCTCCATGTTGATAATATATAACTAAGAACAGAACTTCTCTGATGTCAATAATACCTGTTTTCATAATTAACAACCAAAATCTTTTATCCATTGCTTTGATAAAATTAATATTACAAAAAGAAGTTAGAATCTAAAAATAGTCTACTCTTAAAAAAAGAACATATGTGGTGAGGTACCGCAGTAGTTCATGCTGACCATGACCCACACTATTAGGCTGTAAGAGTTTCTAACAGATTAATGTTACCTTTGCTTGATATAAAATTTCCCCCACAAAGTGCAGTTAGAGTAATATCTGCTTTCCACTGAGACAGTTTGACTTTTAATAGTCATACTAAAATGATTTTATTTTTATGAGAACCAAACACCATCCATCCCTTCAAAACTCACATACATGCACACATACTCTTTTAATATTAAATTATAATGAAGTTAAGTCTAATTAAACTTTACCTGTACTGTCTTTAGTATATTACTGTCACAAGGCTGAATATAGCACAGTCTTTTCTCTGTTCTCAGTTGGCACTTGTTATTTTCATTGGTTACCCTGTTAGAAATTCCCATCCCACATGTTCTGGAGCAAGGGGTCCACTTTGTAGCTTGAATAAGACATTTTCTTTTCCAAATAAGTGGGAGAGTCCTATAAGCTAAAATAAAGGAGAAAGTGCATGTGTATGCATGTTTATGTACTCATGTAGTTATATAATTTTAGTCATTTTAAGCTAGTAATAGTTAATAGATCTGAACCTTTATTTTTATATAAAATAACTCAATAACATAAGTTTATGGTCTAATCATCATTCCCCACACCCCAAATTACTTTTGAATCAAGTCTTACAGTCCACACTTCCATTACTTGCTCTGTGGACTGTGGGCCGCTGGGGTTGGTGAAGGATTTCAAGACGGCTGGGCGAAAACTTGCTCTAAAAACCATTGACTGGGTAGCTTTTGGGGAAACCAGAAAACCATTGCTAACACCCTGAAATCCTGGAATGAGACCCTCACCTCCAGGTCGGCTACTCTCCCTGAGAAACCACCTGCAATCGACTGGGCTTACTACAAGGCCAACGTAGCAAAGGCCGGCTTAGTAGATGATGTTGACAAGTTTAATGCCCTGAAGGTTCCTGTGCCAGAGGATAAGTACAGCGCCCTGGTGGATGCTGAAGAAAAAGAAGATGTGAAAAGTTGTGCTGAGTTTGTCTCTCTCAAAGACCAGGATTGAGCAATTCGAGAAAGAGCTGGAAAAGATGAAGGACATAATTCCATTTGACCAGCTGACAGTTGAGGATTTGAATGAAGTCTTCCCAGCAACCAAATTAGACAAAAAGAAGTATCCCTACTAGCCTCACAAGCCAATTGAGATTTATAAACTTGAGTCTGAGAGGAAGCTCTGGTCCTTGTATTATAAACTCTGGACATTAAAAATAATCATACAAAAAATAAAAAAGTCTTATAGTCCAATTTCTTGGGAGGAATAAAATTCTTTATCTTTGAAAAACACAATAGATACACCCATTTGCTTCTTTCTTCCTGCCCATCTTCTGAGTACTAAAGCTTATGTTCTGATAGATATCTTGCCTTTTCCCTGGTTCTGGCTTCATGCTTGATATTTCCAATAGACATTAGTAGGATTAGGGATTTTAAGATATCTATTAGAATGATGTGGTTTTTAATGTTAAATTTCCTATGTTAAAATCTAAAACACAAAAGTTATATTTGAGACTTAGACTATCAGTAAAACCAGTGAATTTTTCCCCTCCACTTTAGTCTTTTAGAAAATACATTATACTGAAATAATCTAAATACCCATATGCTATGTGTAAGCTATTTATTCATTCATTCCCTGTAGTATCAGGCCCATAGTATTCTCTCTATTGCCTAGCCATTTCAAATCACATATAGGAAGACATGGAGAATGAATGGATTGATGGATGGGTGGGTGTGTGGGTAGATAGATGGACCCTCCCTCCACTGCCTGCTCCTTAGGAGAAACAAAAGGAGGGGAAGAGGGTAAATAATGAGACCATAAAGAAAATATAAAGAGGGCATAATATTCTTCAATCTCCTTGTAAATCCATTGGGAGCTTCTTGTTCTGTTCATGAATGAGTCTGGCCCTCGGTTAATTTTAAGCAAACTACAGGTTGGCTTATTGTCTCAAAGCATTTCCTGAAGGTTCATATGCATCCTAAAATGGATGTTTTGGGAATAAGGTTGTTGTGATGTGAGTTTGCAGTTGAACACTGCAAAATTCTGGCTACATTACTTCAAAATGTCAATTTAAAACTTGAAAAAGACCCCCAAAAATGCCTTCTTGATAGGGAATATCAGTCGCTGAAGTATGTGCTATCTTTGAATAAAATGATACTTTGATACTGTTTTCAGTGTTATTACAATAGGATCTTGCAATTGCACATAGAACTGAGGGAGAAGAAGCAGAAATATGCAGATACCTGGAAGGTAGACAACAGTTTAAAGACCTCAATGCAGGAAGCAGATTAAAAGCCTGGCACGCATCTGCAATAAATAAAGGTAGGTTAGATAGTTGTATTTCTAATAACCCCACTTAAAGTTAAGCAAAGAACTGCAGTTCAGGAATTTGCTTGACACTCATTAAAAAGCAAGAAGAGATTTTTAAAGTCATAGTTTAGTGTTGGAGAGCAGTAAGAAAAGCATGGGGGCATTATGTCATTGCATGCTTCGTACTGACCAAGCAAGCTAGATTCTAACCATTTGGAATTAACTGTGCATATAAATTACTATCACAAATATATCTTAAAGTGAGTATTTGTCACTGTGCTTAATTTTAAAAGCCAAACTCCTGTTTGGGCCCATAAGTATAGTTTCACAGTGAAGCAAAGGAGAGATATTAGATTGAATATATACTTCCTTTGAAACATATCTAGGTCCAACACTCAATTACCAGAGACATTTTCTCAGGGTTTGGTTTTGTTTTGCTGTTGCATCAAAGCACCAATCACTAAGAATGACCATCTGAAACCTCCAACCGGGTACCCAGTGAACCCACCCTCACGCTACAAATGAGACCAACTTGAACTACATCCAAAAGTCTCCATTTGTGGCAAACTGCTTCTCTAAGGTGTTCTCTCTCACCAAAGAGATTCTAAGGACTTATACTGATTCACTCAGATAAATGAATGCAGATTCAATGCAGAAAACCAACTGTTCTTGTACATCCTGGAAAAAAGAATAATTTGGCTTATATTTTTAGAGCATTAGTAGTGGCATGCTGTTAGCTGAATAACTATGCATGGTAAACGCAAATTCACTACAACCTGTTAAATTATTTTCAAGTTTAATGGGCATAATTGGAATCCCTGAAGATGGTCTTTTCATATAGCTTTTAAATTTCTAAAAGTCATTTCACATGATACAAGTGAACTTGGGAGTTTTCAGCATAAGTATTCTGCGTTTCCTTGGCTCCTTTCATTCCCTAAGCTCTGAATTTCAAGAAAAAGGCATTGATTTCTGGATGAAAACACAGATGTGAATAATAAAGCATCAGCTTTGCACTTTTTAAGTCCTTCTCTGTCTGTGCTTCATATGCTGGCATTTTTTAAATTCCTGTCCCCAAAACACCCTGGCACTGACAAAGATGCTAACTCAGAGCAGACCAGAATACAAAGTTTATGAGCATACTGACTAAATGGCCAGGTGTTCAAGATGAGAAACAAAGAATCTCATTACATGTTCCTACTATATACGTACCTGGGCAGCCTACTTAAGAATACCTAGGGTAAGTTTATATCAGCAGTTTTCTATTTCTAGAAATAATATTTATAAATTCAATGCATGTCCTCAAATATTTTTAAGCAGTAGCTTTCCATTTCTGCTTTTATTATATAGAAAAGTCACTTTTGAAAATTTTTGATTCTGGATAGTTCACACTTCTTGCCCATAGTATAACAATACAAATAAAAATTTTTCCAGGGTACATATGAACTACATTTGGCCAATCCTCCCGAGAAGAGGTTGAGTGGGAATAAGCAGAGTAAGAATTTTCCTGACCTAGTAGGGTTCTTAAAAACAAATATTTTACTGGAAAAAAAATGAAAACATTACCAAGTTTTCTTTTCAGATACTTAGACTACAGTGGAGCCTTGACTTACAAGTGTCCCGACTAACGAGTTTTTTGAGATACCAGCTGTCTCTTGGCCGATTTTTTGCATTGAGTTGACAGAGTAATTTGAGTTAAGGAGCTCCTTAACGAGCTCGGTCTCAGAACGAATTAAACTCGTAAGTCAAGGCCCCACTGTATACCTTCCTGAAACAGACTAAGACGGCACACTCAAACTAAATCTCACACTGACCACCAGTCAGGAAGTGCCTATGGAGCACCTATGGTGCATAGGAGGACCATGAAGTAAACCACAAGAAGCAGACATGAAACCAGTTCTACTTATGAGCACCTGGCATTGTTTTGTAGGTTGTTGAGAGCTGCTGTTGTAATGGTCCCAGGCCACAGTTTGGTTGATCAGACTTCTTTCCACCTTTAGCCCCAGAGCAGTGACTGTCAGCCAGCTTTGGTATGAACAAAGGGGTACATCCAATGGCCCCACTCACACAGAGGCAGCTAAACAGGGGGTTGGGCTGAAACACTTGGCCATTATGATAATGTACCCTGTTGAACTCGCATCCCACAGCCACAAGATCTGAAAAGAGAAAAAAGCAGAATCGCCAAAGAAGCCATCACTGATAGCCTAGCCCTCCCCTATAAGCCACAGAGAAAGTGCCATTCTCGATTTCTTAGGCCCCATCTGGAACCTCCTTCACAGAACATCTGGAGAAGGTGAAAAATGAGACATTAGCAGTACACTGTAGGCTAGCAACCTCAATGATCACTTCCAGAACTCAGACCCAAGCACAGGCCCTGGTCTAGAGTGCGGTTAATAAAAAATCACTTTGAGTACAGCAGTGAGATAAAGATTGTAAATTTGAGAGATGGGCTGGGGGCTGGTGAGACTGAGGTTTCCCCAGTTGTCCAACAATAGGCTAGGATATATTCTTAGTAAGTTAAGATGTGAATGGCTGAAAAAATTATAATCTGTTTAACTACAGTACTGCATGGTAACTGATTTTTGTCTTAAGAGAACTAGAGGAAACTTTCACTTCCTCTGAGCAGGATCCCTGCCCTGGGTCAGCAGTTTTCCAAGTGTGGCCACTGACTCCTGGGCAGTGCCTGAGGTCCTTTCAGAGAATCTGCAGGTCAGAAACTGTTTTCACTGTGTTGATATTTGCACTGATGGTGCAAAAGCAATGGTGGCTAAAACTGCTGTTGGAATCTAAAATAGCATGAATCAAACTGTACAGGTTAATCACTGTATTTTTCCTTGCTGTGCACTTGTATATACATGTACTATAGCAAAAAAGCTAGTTTTACTTAAGAATGCCCTTAGTGCCGAAACCGGTTTGGCTCAGTGGATAGAGCGTCGGCCTGAGGACTGAAGAGTCCCAGGTTCGATTCCGGTCAAGGGCATGTACCTGGGTTGCGGGCATATCCCCAGTGGGAGATGTGCAGGAGGCAGCTGATCGATGTTTCTCTCTCATTGATGTTTCTAACTCTCTATCTCTCTCCCTTCCTCTCTGTAAAAAATCAATAAAATATATTTAAAAAAAAAAAAAAGAATGCCCTTAGTGACACAGTAAAAAGTAAAAATTTTATTAAATCTTAACCATCAAATAAATATTTTTAATATTCCTTGGGACAAAATGGAAAGTGTACACAGAGCATCTCTGTAGGTATTGCACCGAAGCACAACAGTTATCTTAGGAAAAGCGCCCATACTGCTGTTTGAGCGGTAGGCCAAACTCCCCGTGTGTTTTAGTGGGAATTTCACCTGAAGGAATGACTCACAGGTAAGCCATGCTTATTCAGACTGGGTATTTGGCTGACATTTTCTTGGAAACCAACAAAATAAGGCTGTAACTTCAAACAAAACAACTGACAGTATTTATTGCCAATGATAGAATTCAAGCTTTTAAGCAAAAAATTAGAATGTTGAAAAATTTGTACCCACATCTGAGAACTTCATAGCTACTCAATATATAGACTTTTCTGACAGAATTAGGATTAATTAATGTGATTTTTAAAAATATTATATAATTACGTGTATCATTTGGAACTTCTACATAACCCATTGTTCCAAACTATTTTCCAAATAACCAATTATGCATGAGTAAAGGACCCATTCCACGTAGGTTTTGGATAAACCAATGTATTTTAATGTCACAGAGTTTGACACTGATGTGATTCAATGATACGGTTTTAGACTCCATGATGCAGCTAATTTTTAAGAAACTACCACTTCTCAAGTGTTAATATAATATCAAAAAAGAATATTAACAATTATCTGAAAAGTCTATTAAAATATTCCTTCCCTTTCCAATATATATCTGTGTGAAGCTGGATTCCCTTCATATATTTCAACTAAAACATCATATAGCAATAGATTGAAAGTAGAAACAGATGGGAGAATCTAGCTATCTTCTGTTAAGCTATACACTAGATTTGCAAAAATGTAAACCAATCCCATTCTTCTCACTCTATTTTCCTTTGTTTTAGAAAATAAATTTTTTCATAACATATATTATTCCTATGAATTTACAAAGCCTTTGTTATTTTAAAACAAATTAGCAAATGGTTTTAAATTTCTCATCTATTAAATACCAATAGAGATAACTCAAACAAAAGTTCTTTGGGTCCTCATTAATTTCTAAGAATCAAGGGGCCCTTGGACCAAAAAGTTTAAAAAATATTTATCCATACCGTCGACCAGCAAATTTTCTGTAAAGGGCCAAATCGTAACTATCTTAGTCTTTACAGACCATTCAGCCTCTGCCACCACTACTGGATCCTGCCATTGTAAAGCAGCCATAGACTATACGTAGCTGAGTAGGTGTGGCTGAGTTCCAACAAAACATTCTGTGTAAAATCAGGGGAGGGCCATGATTTGGCCACGAAGCCATAGTTCGTGAGCCCAGTTATAGGTCACCCCGCCTTCAACCTTGGGTCTAGGCTGTGTTAAAATATCATCACAGTATCTGAAATTATTTGTGTAAAGATCTGTCTGACACAATATACTTTGACTCTGTGAGGGAAGGGCCTGTATCTTTTATAACCCCCTGTTGTGTCCCTAGTTGCTGGTCACTGTTTGTTGCCCAGCACTGATAGGTCATGGTTTCTCTGTCAAGTTTCCATGAATAATAACTAACATTTTTTTAGAGTCTACTGTGTACCAGATATTGGGCCAGGTGTTTGGGGTTTTATGGCCATTATTTTCATTTGATCTTCCTAGCAAGTCTATGATATAGGAGGTACATAGGATGTAACTGAAGCACAAAGAGGTTCAACAACATGATCAAGGTCACCCAGAGCCTAGAATTTGAACCCAGAGCCTACATCTTAACCAATATAAGACAGTGCCGACAGGGGTATCAGGCTTTCAGACCTGCATGGGTCTGTACATTCACCCCGACTCCAACGATGTACTCTTATTACATGCTCATGACCGAACTTCCAGGAGTCATTTGCTTCCCTCTTGGGCTTTTCTATAGGGTGACTGAACCGCCCGGATAACATGGGTTTTTCTCTTCCCTTAGAAATCCGATTCCTTAATCCTAAGTAAGTCTGCATCCTGAATTATTGTCAAGATGTTGTAGGTGTAGATGGTCTCATTCAGACTCCAGAGCCAAGACCCATAAAGCTGAGGCTCAGGTTGTGATTTGGGGTGAAAGTGTCTCTCTCTCTTCAGTAAAAAGTACAGTAACTTGAGGGTTAGTTGGAAAGGCTAAGATTAAAGCAGTGTGTCTGAATACTAGATATACATCCTTACATTTTTAGCAAGATTACTTTTCAGTTACAGAAAAGGCTGAATTCAGATTGCTTTTGACAATATTAACAAAAGCTGTTATTTTGTGGCACTTTAAGAGATCAGACTCAATTTCTTATATTTTAATCATTAAAAGCAATTATTTTGAGAAGAACTGTGAGATCACTTTAAACGCAATTAAAATAACAGGTTTCTGAACGTGTGTAAACATCTGTTCATTTCACATGGTGTCTAATATGACAAAGCCAGTCCCCTTAGTGTCTGAAAATTAAAGCCGCCTTATAGTTAGCCAAACTACGCTAATTATTCCAAATTAACAGTTGCAGGAAAAATATCCTGTCTAGACTCAACCTCTCCCAGCAGGTCCAGAAGACACTTACATGCACACACTCCGGTCTCGTACCTAGGCCTGTCTGCTGAGTAGTCACAGTACAGTCCTTTGTGTGGATCGCAGAGGGCAGCTTCATTGCAGATGTCCCCTGGTTGCTTGGCACAGATTTTACAGCATCCACAGCCATCCCTCACCAAGCTCACTCCAGGAGGGCAACTGGGCTTCTGAGGACATCTACAGGGCCAGTGACAGACCTGTTTACGATGCTGAACTTCTGATGCTTCTCCAGGCCTTCTTTCAGGAGTCACATCTAATGGCCCGGTGCCCTGTGCCCTGCAGCAGAACTTCATTTGATAATAAAGGTGATGTTAGAAATGATTTCTCAAACTAATTTCAGAGGTTTAATAGAAATAGATTTCCCTCAAACTGGTAGGAGACAGTGTGCCGAGTTATAATAATAACTAGCAGTATTTGACACAATCACTCTCAGCTTAAACTTTCTTCACTCAGCTCCCAACACCCCACTTTCTTGCTTCTCCTTTCTCTCTGATGGCTTCTTCTCAGTCTCCTTTGCTGGTTTCTTCTCATCCTCTTCATTTCTAAACATTGCTATCCCTGTGGTTAAGACCTATCTTCTCTTGCTATATCTTATACCTCCCACCCAGACTTCTCTTCTGAACTCAGACTCACACTACCTACTAAACAGATCTCCACTTAGATGTTTGGTAGGTATAGCAAGTTTAACATGACCTAAGCAAGCTCCCTATTTCCCCTTCCAATCTACTTTACCTACACATCCCTGTTTGAGCAAATGCCGATTTCATTTTTTCCAAAATATCTTAGAGGCAGGTCATTCTTGACTTTTCTCTCACATTTTACTTCCAATCCCATCAGTATATCATGTTGGTTATATCTTCAAAATATACCCACCCCATTGCTACCATAGTGATCCAAGCCACCATTATTTTTCACTTAGTTGATTATGATAGTCTTGTAAAGGTTCTGCTTGCTTCCCCTTTTGTCCTCTATCTTCTCCACCCAGAAGAATTGTTCTTTTTTTTTTTAAGAAAAGGCAAAAATAAATAAGTGGGATTACATCAAACTAAAAAGCTATATACAGCAAAGGAAATGATCAACAAATGAAAGAACGGGCAATCTACATATGGAAAAAATATTGCAAACTATATATCTTATAAGGGGTTAATATCCAAAATATATCAAGAATTCATACAACTCAATGGCAAAAATAATAAACCAATTAAAAATGGGCAAAACACTTGAATAGACATTTCTACAAAGAAGACATACAAATGGCCATCAATACATGAAAATGTGCTCAACATCACTAATTATCAGGGAAATGCAAATCAAAATCACACCAAGATATCATCTCACACCTGTTAGGATGACTACTACTAAAGTAAGTAAGTAAGTAAGTAAGTAAGTAAGTAAGTAAATAAATAAATAAATAAATAAAATAGGTGTTGGTGAGTATGTGGAGAAAAGAAAACCCTGGTACACTGTTGGTGGGAATGTAAATTGGTACAGCCATTATGGAAAACAATATGGAGGATCCTCAAACAATTAAAAATAGAACTACCATGTGATCTAGCAATTTCACTCTGGGTATTTATCCAAAATATTAAAACCAGGATCTCAAAGAGATAGCTGTACTCTGTACTCCCATGTTCACTGTAGCATTATTCACAATAGCCAAGATATGGAAACAACCTAAATGTCCATTCATTTATGAGTAGATACAGAAGACGTGCTATCTGCATAAAATGCAATGTAATTCAGCCTTAGAAGAGAAGGAAATCCTGCCATTTGCAACATCATGGATGGACCTGAAGGACATCATCTAAGGAAATAAGGCACACACAGAAAGGCAAATACTGTAAAATCTCACTTCTATGTAGAATCTAAGATTGTCAAATCTAAGATATTTTGCTAAATCCCCAGATATCCAAAGCTCTGTCTTCTATGCAAGCAAAAACATTCACCATGTAAATAAATCCACAAGTAATTCACCCTGTTTTAATATTCTTATTAAAAAATGCCAAGGCAATGAATCGGTCGTATTAAATTAAACTTCCCTTTGGTCTGTTGCTTGAAAAATTCCAAAGTCTCCATGGACTGAATCCCTTTCATGACAAGTGAGAAACACATGGGTTGGGAAAAGACAACGTTATAGAATGTTTTCAAAATATAAATGTTTCTTCCAAAGTGCTCCTTTCAAACCAGAACAGGCTTCACTGAGGTGGTCAAAATCATATTTTCCAGTGGTTCTCTGCTCATTTTGCACACGACTACGGAAAGTTGAGCCCCAGCCTGGAGCCCACAAGAAGAAGCGCCCTTCATTCCCCCGCCAGGTAGGGCTGCGGCTTCCCCGAGGCACGCTGTGTGCTATACTCCAATAAAAATATATACATTACTAAAGTCGTGAAGCTGTTCAAACATATTGAAAGTTGGATTAAATGCCATTACCTGAAAGGGACAAATGTTTTCCCCTTCTTTGCTGAAGCTACTAAACTGAAACAGCACTTTATTTGGAGAGGAAAATGGCTCCCTATTTCTCAAGAGGTAGTTCCACAAGGAATTCACCCTCTCTTCCTCCCCCATCTTCTTCTTTCCAGATTTTTAAACTGAAAAAATAAAAACTGCTGCAGTCTCCTGAAGGGAAGAAGGAAGGAGAGAGACCTTACCTGTGACAGGGCTGCCAGGAGAAAGGTGGCCAGGAGGAGTCCCTGCATGTTCCCAGGACGCACAGCCAGAGATAGGAGGCCGGTGCCCTGGGGCCAGCGCACAAAGCTCCCCTCTGTCTCTGCAGAACTCGCTCGCCTCCACCTCCCAGGCCACAGACTTCGTGCTCATACTCTCAGGCTCTGCTTTCACTTTCAGGGATCTGTTTTAATGCCCTGTTTCCTTTCACGCGACTCTTCTCATATTTACCTCTGCAGCATCGTGGGGGGTGTCATGAGGGTGAGTGGGCACTTTCCTCCCCGTGCCAGGAGGTGACTTTTCTTTGAGTAAAGGTTCTATCTATCTACCTGTCCCTAAAGATCAGAGTCGGCCTGTGGCCAAATGGTGAGGTTAGATGCATCCACCTTCCTCACCCTCAGCCTCTGGGGTCTGGGTTCGCTCTGCCCCAGGCCCTCCCCGTGCTGCCTTATTTTCCACCGGCTCTCAAGCCTGGGTGCTGCCTGGTCTATGCCCACACTCCACCCGCAGCCTGCTCAAGGTTCTCCCCTCACATCAGCAACAGGTCTCCCCAGGCCTTCCCTGGCTCCTCCAGCTTCTGATCCCCCTCCCCACTACCTCTATTGCCCCCACAGTGCCCTGGACTACCTCTATCACAGCACATTTCTCACACCAGGTGGATTATGATTGGGAAAAATGTAGCTGGAACAGGAACACCGTGTGTGGGGGGGGGGGGGGGGGGGGGGGGCACCTACAGTCCCTGCCCCAGAGAAGCCCCCTTCTGTGGCCACAGTCCCAGGACAGAGAGTAAAGTTAACCCCACTCTTTTGGGGCTAAGATAAAACAATTATGCTAGTGGCAATCATTATTTCAACAAATTAGGATTTTTTAAAAACAAAAACAAAACTTATTACAGATTTGTACCCCTTCTCCTATTGTCATCCCCTTGGGATGTGTGGCCACCTCATCCCCTCCTGTGTCTGGCCTTGGGTGACCTTTGTTTATCCCATTTAGGTGACCTTGGTCTTTGTTCCTGTATCTTGGTGTGCATCTTTGATGAAGCCTTGTTTGCTTTGGATGGAGTTTTTTAGACCACCTTCCCACCCCGTCCCGGGGTCTATTTCTATTCCCTTTGACCTTTACCCAGACTGTCTTTTCCTGTTACCTGACCTCTCCTGGACTCACTGTTCACCTTTGTTTCTGCCCAAGGCAGTCACAGGTGTATAGAAACAGTAAGTAAACCCCACTCGGGCCTGTGCTGAGGGGCTAGGGGGAAACTGGGCTCTCTGCCAACAACCAGGAATCTGGGGACCTTGGAGAGCCAAGGACGCCACAAAACATGCAAACTCTAGGCATCTTCCTAAGTAGTTAATTAGGCCATAATTATGCATACCAAACAACAAGGACTACGCAGTGTGGTTTTATGGTGCCAGCTCCTTATTGTGCCTCTCCAATAAATAGGGCAAAGCCCAAGAATGGCCTCATGAAGCAAAATGTGTCTGTTTTGGTCCAATCTGATCTATTTCTTTCTAGTTTAACACCATTTGATCTTTAGGTTCCTAGTCTCTGGGATTCAGGCACCACACAGTCTGTGGGGATGGATCATTTCTCATTTCCTGGCTGGTCCATCAAATGCAGAAGAGTCTCAGCCCAAGACGAGTGTGTTCATCAGCTACATCCCTCCTGCCCAGCCCTCACTGTTCCGAATGTACTGCTGCACACAGCTATGCACTGTTTGAACTGAGGAGACTCATACTCCTCCCAATTGCTCTCTGTGAATTTCTGGCAGCAGCAGCCATTGTTCTGGAAACAGCTTCCCTCTCTCTGCAGTATCTCTACCATGGGCAGAGGAAGGTGTCATACTCACCATCTTTGCTTCATGGTAGAAAAAGACCGTCTTAGTTGAGAACTAACTTGTAAAACCTCAACCCAACCCCTCCCCCCTCCTCCCCCCAACCCCCAGTGCACAGAATTGATGGGCACTGGGTTGCTTGCTGTCACATGTGTTTAGACATTTCCAGCCACAGGCGTGCTCTTATTAAACCATTCCACGCTTACTATGGGTGGACTAAGCGAATGTGATATTTGCAGAGGTTAGGACGGCCATCTTCGACTTGACAATAAGAGCTATCACGATGTACATTCTCCTCTAAGTACTTCCCTCTGTTACCTCATTTAACAGAATGCTAATCTGTCCAGCAGCGCATTTCACAAGTATTCAGCTTGCGATATGCCCTTAAACAGACATGATACTGAGCATAACTGCTGGAGTCCAACCCCAGCAGGTCCAGGGGTCCCCAAAGGTGTAGACGGAGTCGACGAAGAAGGAAGGACACGGAGACAGTGTTCAGTTGATCAGCAGCCTAGCCAGGATCTCCAGCCAGGATCTCCAGCCAAGTTCTGGTCTGGATCTCCAGAGAGGTTGTGCTTAGGATCTCCAGCCAGGTTCTGTGTCCATGTTCTCTTGCTAGGTTCTCCAGGTTCTCCAGCCAGGTTCTGTAGCCATGTTCCCTCGCTAGGTTCTCTCTCCAGCCAGGTTCTGTATCCATGTTCTCCAGCCAGGTTCAGTCACCAGGTTCTAGTCAGGTTCTCTTCCCAATTTCTGTAGTCAGGTTCAGTCCAGGATCTTTTGCCATGTTCTCTCACTAGGTTCTGTCTCTAGGTTCTGAAGCCAGTTTCTGTCCAGGATCTTTTGCCATGTTCTCTCCAGCAAAGTTCTTCTGTCTCTAGAGAACGTTCTGTGTAGGTTCTGTGCCTAGGTTCTGTCTCTCTCGGTTCTGTCTTCTTACATCTGTATTTATACCAGTTGATTCCAATCCTATCAATCTCTATTTCAAAGGTTAGGGCGTTTCTTATCTCCATTCCAGGGAGTAAAGATTATGTAGCTTAAGCATGATTGTTCGTAGTTAAAGTGATTAATTACCCACCTGGCACTAGTTAAGAGGTTTTATTCCCTCCCTAACTTCAGGGGAAAATCCCTACCTGGGGAAACAACCTTTCTCAGAGACCTTGGTTAAAACACATAGTGCCAAGAAGGTGAGCAAACATATTAAGAACAGTATGCCATATATGCCAGGTCCCTTGAAACAGCAAGCATGGACCGGCTCCCGGTACATAACTAATATTTACATCATGTTTTATGATTAAGGAAGTTTCATATGTAGTAACTTTTTTTTTAATTTCACAGCTCAGTGAGGTAGGCAAAAGCAGTATTACCTCCCTCATTTAACAGATTAAAAACTTGAAGTTAAGTGATTGTACTTGATCAATAAAACACGTAATCTCTGCCCTCTGGAGCTATGTCATCTACGGGACCAGAAGACACTAAACAAGGACACCCAGTATCCAAAATTAAATTGAATAAAGACTAATCATAGACAACAAGAAACTGCAAGAGAGCGTGACAGGTAGGAGGTAATTTAGACGACATCTGTGAGGAAATATCACTTAGAGAATAGAGAGATGAAACCAGCTGAAGAGCTGGGGAAGACTGCTGGTCCAGTCCTCTTCCCACTGGCAAGATGCACACCTCTGATGGTAACTAGCTCCATCTGCAAAGAGCATGTCCCACTGCCCTTCCCGTAGGTTCCCAAAATCACTCTGTGAGGAACTTCATCCCAGCTAGAACATCCCCTTCTCCTGGTTGGAGCAGGCACTTGGAGCAGGCAGAGATCAGAACCCACACCTTCTATCTGCGCACTTAGCACACAATGAGTTTTCCTTTCCTGTCCCCTCTCCCTTCCTTTCCTCTGATTGATTGTGGAGGCGGAGTTACTGTTAGCCCTGAGAAGAGACAGACATTGTTGGTGCTGAAATGCACTGAGGATGAGCGATGGGGTAAGGTCCATCGGTGAGACTAGAGCCATTGTAATAATAGCAGCTAACAATCAGTGAGTGCTCAACGTGCCCAATCATTGTGCTGAGTGTATTGACTCATGGCAACCTCATCACCACCAGACAGGTAGTGTTAATGCCGTCTTTGTTTTATTAATGAGGGAACTGAGGCCAGGCCACATGGATAGCAAGTAGAACCAAGATTCCAAGCATTTAATCCCCAGGCTCCACTGCCTCTCTGCATGCCCTGTCATTTACATCACATTCTGTAGTAGGATGATTTATTTTACTAATTTGCATTGTGTTCTCAACGTTTGTCTGCCTCCTGCTCCCTTCCCCAATTTTAAGACGTTAGTGAGGCCTTTCACATTTCCCTCCATCCAGCCTCCAAGCAGAGAAAGGAAGCTGCTGGCGTGCTTTCTCTTGTCTTTCAGGGAAGCTTGATCTCACTGAAGAGGTGATGCTGGGAGAGGAGAGTGGGGAAGGAATGTGAGGTAGCCAGCCGAGAGGAGGAGGAAGCAGAGGAGAAGAAAGTGAGTGAAGCTGTGGCTGGTGAAGACTGGACACTCAGCTGTCCCCATGGCAACTGCAAAGCCTAGAGGGACCCGCATGCCATAGTGCTCCCAGGAGACCGACCCAGTGCCAGGGTTCTACAGTGGCAAGTGTGTGTTTGCAAAGCCTTTAGTGCCTGCACACACATGGTCCGTCAGGGTGTGGGCAGACATCTCAGAAGGGGAAGACCAGAGAGGCCTGGCCCTTTCCTAGGCACCAGCACGGCCTCCTGGGTTGGTGTGCAACCTCGGATGGTGGTGGTGGTAGTGTTAAGGGGAATGCAGCAATGAGAGCTTAGAACAAACTTATCTGCAGATGGAGATGGGGGAGCAGCTTTCATTTCCATTTTAACTTTAACTAAGAATTAATTAATAAAAAATTTCACTTTAATTAGAAGAAATGGATATTTCCAACACCCATGGATTTGTGGAATCACAGTCCACAATTTGCTACAACATACCCTAAGTTTTACAAAATCACCATTTTCCTTGAGTGTTTACTCTCCCCTGAAAAAATCACAGGCCTCAGAACCAAAACAATGCTGGGGCCCTCTGTCCCATCAACACTGGCTCTCTGTCAGCTCCCAGCAGGGCCTGCAGCTGGAGCTCTGATAACTCAGGGATTCTTGCAGCCTGGTGGCTACTGCAGGCCCAACAGTGCTGAAGGACAG